ATGGCCCATTATGGGCCATCAGCTACAAAACTGACCCATTGAGAGAAGGCAAGGGATGCCTTATGACTCAGCAAGGCATGCAGGGGCATGCCTATGGACAGAAAAGGCTTCGAAGCCATGTGCTGGGCAGCTTGTGTTTGAAACAAAGAAAGCACAAGCTGCATGGCAAAAGACTATAAAAGACAGCTGCATCTTCTCCATCTTGTCTTCAATCCTGCTTCTTACCTCTGGAAGAACTTTGCTACAAACTGAAGCTCTGAACAAAGGACTGAATGACCCATCCAAGCTGTGGATGTGTTCCAGAGGGACTTTCAAGCCAGCAAACTCACTAATACTGCTAGGAACCTGATGGGTTTTAAGTTTTTGTATGTATGTGACTGTTTTACCATTTAACATCTCTCTTCTTGTTCTTTTTTCTTTATAATAAACCTTTAGTTTTAGACACTAAAGGATTGGCTGGCAGCGTGGTATTTTGGGTAAGATCCAAACCTATACTGACCTGGTAACATGGTTGACCCTCTGGGGTCAGAAGAACATTTTGTATATGTGAGCAGAGTTGTTTAAATAACTTCTCATTGTAGTGGACCTACGTGCTGATTGGGAGCCAGAAGACTGGAATGCAATAAAGGGAGCTGTGTGATTTCTTTTTTTGCTTCTTGATAACCAGTGTGGGAGATCAGAAGTACAGTTGGTGACTGGTTGGAGAGTTTAACTTCAGTGTTACCCGCCAGTCTTGGCAGTATCTGCTCTCCCTTTTGCAGCCTGCCCTGACCTTGGCATTTCCAGTGAGGGCTGCCCCAGGCACCACCAGTCACACAGGGGATGTTTTGTCTACACCCCAGCTGGGGGTAATCCTCAGAGGGGGAAAAGGTATAGGAATGGAGAACTCACAACCCACAAACTACCTCTTTCCCCCATCTCTGCTCACGGCAGCTACAACGCTTGGAAAAAAAAAGGAAGCTTTTGGAATTAGGGGAAGGGGTCTTAGCTGGAAGGCTTTCCAGCTAGTACAGACTACTGTAAACTTTTGGGTGAGAAAAAAAAAACACTTTGTTGTTGTTGTTTTCAAGATTACTTAGCTTGGTAAAATTTAGGAATTAGCTTGCATTTTTAAACTTATTTCTTTTGTAACCAGTCCTGACTAATATGCCTTATCGCTTATAATCACTGAAAATCTCTCTCTCTATTTAATAAACTTGTTTTGCTGTTTTATCTAAACAAGTGTGTTTGATTGATGTGTTTGGGAAATTTCTACTCAGGTCAACAGGGCTGGTGCCTACTCATTACCCTTTGTTGGAATGATGGACTAATTTCGGAGGGGAGGGTACGGTTGGGACTGAGGGATATGCAGATTTCACCCTGTATATATTGATGGCTGGCTGGGCATAGCATTCATGTATTCATCTGGGAGTGACTTTACATGCTATTCACTAGAAAAGGAGAGTAAAAGGCATCCAGGCTGGAGAGCTAAGGGATACAACAGTTCAGGTCACACCCAGAAAAAATATAGCAGTTGCTATCTGGAAATAGGAACAGAATACATAATAAATAGGAGCTGGCACATTAAGTTGACTCAAGAAGAGGCCTTTCGTATGTCCACTGTGGAGTGCACTGTTCTTAAAATAAACAACTTTCACCTCTCATAGCACTACGACTTTATCTTTTACGGCTGATCCTTTTGTATCCTCCATGTACAATTTCAGATTTAGCACACACTTACAAAGATACCTTTTAAAAATATTCTTGAATAAAGGCAAGGAAATGGAAAGCCTAATGTTTCAAATTGGTGCACGCAACTGTCTAAAAGATCAAGATCAAAGGCAACCTAAAATGTATTTAGCCTTATTTTCAGCTGTAATAAAATGGTAATAAAGTTAAAGCAGTGAAATTCACTACTTGAGCAAAAACATTAGCAGAGCAGAACAGTTTCATTAAAAAGAAAACAAACAGACTGTTTTTATAATATAGTAGCACTTTCCATTAATATAGCAAAGGGCCTTAAAATCAAAGATCTGAAGGTGCTTTACAAACATTAATATGTTCTGCCTCAACACCTATATGAATTAGGGAAGTATTACCATCCCAAGCTTATTTATGGCTGTTAGTAAAAGGGTACGTCTACACTTACCGGAGGGTCCGGCGGCAGGCAATCGATGTTCTGGGATCGATTTATCACGTCTGGTTAAGACGCGATAAATCGATCCCGGAAGTGCCCCGGATCGATCCCGGAAGTGCTCGCCGTCGACGCCGGTACTCCAGCTCGGCGAGAGGAGTACGCGGCATCAACGGGGGAGCCTTCCTGCCGCGTCTGGACTGGCGGTAAGTTCGGACTAAGGTACTTCGAATTCAGCTACGTTATTAACGTAGCTGAATTTGCGTACCTTAGTCCGAAGTGGGGGGGTAGTGTAGACCAGGCCAAAGAAACTGCAGCACACATTTCACTACTTTAATATTCTAATAGTAAGGATGGGGGGAGATGAGGAAGGACATAAAACTAAGGGTACGTCTACACTACCTGCCGGATCGGCGGGTAGTGATCGATATATCGGGGATCGATTTATCACGTCTAGTGTAGACGTGATAAATCGAACCCGGATCGCTCTGCCGTCGACTCCTGTACTCCACCGCGGCGAGAGGCGGAAGCGGAGTCGACGGGGGAGCAGCATTCGACCCCGTGCCGTGAGGACACAAGGTAAGTCGACCTAAGATACGTGGACTTCAGCTACGCTATTCTCGTAGCTGAAGTTGCGTATCTTAGGTCGATCCCCCGCCCCCCAGTGTAGACCAGGCCAAAGATACCTGTCTATACTTGGAGTTCTATAAACACAGGTTCAATCATTTCATAATGTTAATAGCAACTGGCCAAATTAATGCTTTAATGCAGGCAAACTAAGGTAACAAGGCTGTTTAGGTGCCCTGCCAACTCAGTTTCTGTTTAACCATGAAGCAAAGATCAAGGGTGGGCAACTACGGAGGAAATATGTTTAGAGAATGCCAGTTGCTGCTAGTTTTCACCCTCAGGTTCCTCCTCCAAGTCATTTTCTCTGCCCTTCCTCTAACTCTCTGGGTTGAGTAACTAACTGAATTTGCAAACTCATTTTTGGGAGAGTAAATCTGACAGATTTGCTGCATTCACAACATTAATATGTGTAAAATTGTACATGGATCTCTAAGTAGCTGCCTTACATTTATGAAAAGAGATTTAGCCCACTGCCCCAACAATGGCATTGCAAATGGCAATATAAGGCGGGATTTTTTTGTTTTAAAGAGCACCACATAATCGTACTCCAGAATCTAAGCTAGCTAACACTCCAAGAGAAAAAAAAATGAAGGTTGAGTTTTTCAAAACAGTGCTGAATTTAGCCACACATTTTCCCTTTATACTGAGCACCCATAACTCTAGTGGAAATCAGTGGGAACAACAGATGTTTAGTACCTTCAAATATCAAACTAGACCAAAGTTGGCACCTTGAAAATCAGTAGCCACTTTTGAAAGTTTTGCTCTAGGAGATGAAAGACCAGTTATTAGCCACAACTGCTAAACTGTGGGTCAGTAATAGAATTTTAGTACAGGCAGTTCTCACACAGCTTGCAGCCAGCCTTTCTCTAGTCCTGATCTGAGAAAATGAAGGGGCGGAAAAACCCTCTAGGAGCCTTGAAATCATCACAAATGAAATACAAATTATTCTGTGAAACTCAGCTGGGATGCACAAGTTACAAACATCAGCAATTCCATGATCTAATAGAAGGTGGAAGAAAAACATTTTTTTTATTAACTAGACAACTTTAAATGCATACAGAGTGAGATTCAGGGCTGCACCTCTAAGAGGCACAGCCCAGGAGAAGCCTAAAGGTGCCTTTAAGCCACCCTTGAAATCTCCCAGACCCTAGGCTACTCCAGGGGCCAAAGTGGACACTGGTGTAACTTATGACTCAGCTGTGGACGCTGCCCAGAATCTCCACAGTGCTATGAGCTGTTGCCCTGCCCATCACCCAGCTATATCCCAGCCATACCCTATGTTAGAGCTCACACAATGTCTTCAGAAGAGATCCTGAGGCTGTTGTCCTTATTTCCTTTCCCTGGGGGAATTCTCCCATCGTTGGAGGCAGGTTATCTGACCCAGAGAAGGATGGTTCAGTGGTTAGGGCAGTAGACTGGGATTTGGAGACCCAGGTTTAGTTTTTGCTCCACAACAGACTTCCCGTGTGACCATAGTAAGTCATTTATTCTCTCTGTGTCTCATTTCCACATCTCTAAAATGGGGATGATAGTACTTCTGTACTCCACAGGGATGATGAGAGGATAAATACGTTAAAAATTGTGAGGCTCTCAGATGCTATAGTAATGGGGGCCACATAAGTACTTAAAGGGGCTTTAATTTATCTATCTTATGTTGTTCCAGCCCTTTTATCTGACATAAAAGCATGGGTGAGAAGCCCATGGTGTGTCAAATAATGAAGCCCTCAGTGCTAGCAGAACTGCTTCTAGTGTTTCAGAGCACCATAGAAACAGAATAGAATAGTAAAGCAGGAGGTGTATTTGTGAAGGAGAAATACCTTTTTCCCAAATAAATGAAAATTTTACTACATCCAAAATAATGTTTTGCCTCCCACAAAATGTTTTGCATTACAGAATTTAAACCTAATAATGATAAAATGCAGTATAGCAATTTTAATTAGAAAAATGCATGATGAAATAAATAGGAATGACTATTTTCAGTTAAGCTGTTTTAGATCTTTAAGTAGTTGCTTTTTTAAATTTCTTACAATTTTAGTATTCTATACTATTGCAGGGCAGCTGTCTTTGAATATAAAATTTGTCAGCTGATGAAAAATTATTCCACATTTATAAAAAGGAGAACTACTTCAATTTCTTCAAGATTAAGTCTTACTTGTTTTCATGGGACCAGAAATTCATAAAAATCATAGAGGAAAATACAGGAAACCAGAGAGATGTTGTTACTACTCTAGCAAAGTTTCTCCATCACAGTCTAACTTACAGCTGGTCCTGCAGCTCTACAATTATGTACTCCAGCTGTTCCTTCTCCATTTTATGGGCTAGATCCATATCTTCAATCCTCTGTAGCAGTAGTTTGTTTTGTGAGACAGATTCAGCCAGCTGGGTTTCTCTAAGGCGTACTAGCTCTTCAAGATAACCCTGAAAATGCAGAAAAACAAAAACCTTTAGAGAATAAGAAATGGTTACTCACTGTATGCAGTAACTGTGGTTCTTTGACATGTATCCCCCTATGGGTGCTCCACTTCAGGTGCGCTGGCATCCCCTGCACATTTGATCGGAGATTTCGCATAGCAGTGTCCATTAAGCCCATGCATGTGTATTTCTCAATTTCGTGCTCCGTGCCGTTGTTATATAGCACTGCATGGGTGAACCAACCTCAGGTCCTTCTGTACTGCAAAGCTCCACAGCAGAGAACGCCAAAGCAAAGGGGAAGGAAGGCAGTTAATGAAGCATCCAAAGGAAGACAAATCTCAAAGAACCAGTTACTGCACAGGGTGAGTAACCTGCACAGAGTGAGTAACCATTTCTTTTTCTTCAAGTAGTGTCCCTATGGGTGCTCAAGTCTAGATAACTAACGAGCAGTTTCCTCTAAGGAGGAGGGGGCTTCAACATCAAGTCCAATATCGAAGAAAATATAGCTGAGCCAAACCCAGCATTGGAAGCAGAGTCATGAGCAGTGTTCCCTCTAATTTTTCCTACCCACATGGAATGAATTTTGTTATGTGCACCAATATGGAGGTGATGTGTGACATCTGGGGTAGGACCGGGGATGAGAGGCTCAGGGCTGTGGCAGAGGATTGGGTGCAGGGGGTGAGGGCTCTGAGGGGGGACCAGGTATGAGGGATTTAGGGTGCAGGAGAGTACTCCAGGGCTACGGCGGGGAGAGAGGACTCCCCCCCAGCTCTCTTTCCCCCCACAGGAGCACCTGGGCTAGTGGGGGGGTGGGGAGGGAAGAGGCACCTCTCCCCGCACTGGCAGCTCTGTGGCTGCAGGATAGGCATCCACACCGGAGAAGGGCCGCCCTGGCCGCAGCTGGGTCTGGGCCGTTCTGCCAGCCTGAGTCCGGGACGCAGCAAAGTTGGAGCCGGGGGAGGGGCGCCCCAGCCGCGGCAGGTTGGAGGGAGGGACACCCCTTCCCTGTCCACAGCAGGACCCAGGCGGGTTCCCTGAGCGCCTGTGCGGCACTAAACAGGCAGCTACGCAGCCGAGCAGCTTACAGGCAACTTAGGTCATGAGTTATTGCATAATACTCAAACATATGTATAGAGGTCTACATATTTCCATGATGGGAACATTATTGTGAAAGGCTGTAGAGGCTTAGAATGAGTGTGTGTGTTTGAGGGTGCTTGGATATTACAAGATTGGTAGAAAGAACTAATGCAGTTGGATAGCCAGTTGGAAAGTCTTTGTTTAGAGACCACAGACCCTTTTGATCTGTCTGCAATCAAGACAAATAATTTGGGAGTCTTTCTGAAAGGTTTAGTCCTATCAAGATAGAAGGCCAGGGCTCTCCTGACATCAAATGTATAACAGCGCCTCTTCTTTGCTTAGGTGAGGTTTAGGGTGGAGGACCAGAAGATGAATGGGTTGGTTAATATGGAACTCAGAAGATATTTTTGGTAAAAGCTTGCGTAGGAGCAGGATTACACAGTCCTGCCAGTTGATGTTTATAGTTACCAGTACAGAGTCTGGATCAATCTAGTGACCAGCAGATTGGTCACAGAGGGGAGCCAGGCTCTGTCGGTCGTGATCCAATGCTCCCAGAGTTTTGGCAAGATGAACCCAAAGTCCCATGGCCTAGCACCCTGTTCTTACAGTTTTGTTGTTGTTGTTGTTGAAGTCTATGGATTTTGCTGTGTCAGTTTGTGACCGGTTACTTCTTAATTGGTGTTATCTTTTGATGTTAACATTCCAAAACACCGCCGAGAGGGTTATTCTGTCCTGGTTCTGATTTAATCAATTGTCTTGTCTTAAAGGGCGTCAATCTGCCCTTCCTTAATTATTGATGCACGTTGATGGTTCTCTGGTGGTGGTAAGTTTTTTCACTCCTTCTTCCTTGACCATCTGGCTATAACAATGGCCTTCACACCTTATCTTTTTCTGATGCATACATTCCTCATTCACACAAACAATCTTTTACAGAGACCTTTAAAGGTATACAAACAGCAGTGTTTTTTGCTCAACATAAAGGACATTGTAAATTAAACTTAAGGATTGTTCTGGTTTGTTCCTGCCTTAACATCAGTACGGACACTGGCAGTCTGTCAGATGCATTTCTACCAATGTCCCAGAGGGTCATTTTTTTCTGCTATTCAAAAAGGGTGGCTGGCAGGATAATTAAATCCTACATTAATTCTTATGGTACAAATATAAAATCCTGCTCCTACACCTGGGATGTGGTCGTACTGTTGACCTTGTCCTTGAAAAATATTTTGAAAGGTGGGTATGCCATAAGGGCCTTTATTTCCCCAACTTGTCAAGACAACATGATACCTATCAGAAAAAAATGGTGGAGTGAGCAGGAAACCATCAGTTCAAATGGTGATCTTGAAAGGCATTTAAGAACCAGACTGAGGTCCCAAACTAGAGTAGGACTAGTGGAAAGAGACTTTTGAGCCTCCTGAGGAACCTCATTGTTGTTGGGTAGACAATTATGGAATAACCTTCTACTGGAGAATGGAAAGCCATGATGGTTGCTAAGTGGATTCTAATGGACCTCAGCAAGAACTCCAAGTTTTTAGTTCTAAGGTGCAGTCCAGTATATCTGGCAGTGATATGGGTATTGGTAGAATGTGTTTGAGGTCACACCAGCAGGCAAATCTTGTCCATTTTTGTAAGTGAGTGTAGTGTGTAGATCATTTTCTGCTGTGTAACAGCATTCTTTTTTCTTCCGCTGAGCATGTTGTTTCTAATCCCGTGAACCACTGAGCAACCAGGCTCTGAGACAAATAAATCTAAGATTGGAATGAAGGATCTTCTCACCTTCCTAGGAGAGCAGACGCCTGGCGAGTGATCAATGAGTAAATGGCCATCTGTATCAAGCAAGGGAACTATGTTTGTCACTGAAGGGAGGAAGGCAGATGAATTGATGCAGCTGGTAAGAATGGGAATGGTAACTTAGGACCTCGACCAACCTTCCAAAATTTGTGCTTGGAGATGGAAGGCTGTGAGGTCAAAGGTTGAGAAGCAAGTGGTTTTCTTCTCTGGAACCTGTCTCTTATGTTGAGGTTTGTATGATCTCTGGGAGCTCAAGAATTGGGCGGGATGGGATCTCTGCGCCATCTAGGACTTGCTAAACTCTCTCTTGTGGGCAAGTGTATAGATCCTGAGAGAACACAAAAGTATCCTGGAGTCTTTTAACAGGTGCAGAGATTCATTCATGCTGTCAGCAAACCGTTAAGTACAATCAAAAGGTAGGTCTTCAATCATATTTTGGACCTCCTTTGGAAATCTTAGGAGCTGGAGCCAGGAGGCCCGTCTCATAACTACTTCTGTAGTGATTGAACAGGTGGCAGTATCAGCAGTGTCGAGGGAGGCCTACAAATATATTGTGAACAAATGGCCTTCCACAATAATTTCAGCAGGTAGGTGCTTAATAAAAGGGTGCAACTTGGTATAATTTGTATGACTGCATTTCACCATTAATGCCTGGTAGTTGGCAATTCTGAATTGTAAAGTAGTTGCCATGTCTCAGATACAGCAAAGTCTTGGGGAAAATGAAAATCCTGCAGTACTGAGTGTGATCTTGGTACCATGTCCATAGCCTGTGCTGAAGTGATAGTGGCTGAGAGAAATGCCAGTATTGTGAATCTCGACCACTCCAAGGGGAGTCCAGGTGGAGCCTGAGCAAGCTTCTTTGGTACCAAGTGAGAATAGGTAGAGCTTTTCTTGCTGGATTGTTTTGCTGACAGTACCGATGACTTCTCAGAATCAAAGTCTTTACAGTCCTTAGGTCTAACAGTGCCCTTGGTACCAGAGAAACGAGCAGCCTCATGGTACTAGGTCAGACAGCAATGGGTGCCAAAGTGGCTGGAATCAGCGGAGACCGCAACTTCAAGGTTGAATCCCTTCCTGGAGAACTTGGGAGATGGTCTTTAGGAGTTTTATGGAAGGAATCTTGGGTCTTCCTCCTAGATGACCTTGAGGAGTGTGGCTCAGAGACAGTGGAAGCAGAAGACTTACTCAGAGACCAGTGTAGTGAGGGTAGGGTGGGGACCCCTGGCCTGGATCAGAGGCCAGAAGCAACAATAAGAAGTTGAAGTTTGATCTCCCTGGTTTTCTGGCTCTAGATTTTAATGCCAGACAGAAGTTGCACTTTTAGGAAATATGAGATTCCCTGAGAGAACGGATGCACCGGGAGTGTCTGTTGCTCACCGGGATTGCCTTCCAGCAATGGTAACTGGGAGAACTGGGTATACTATATCCTCCCAGTAAAGTAAAACTCCCAGGAGAGAAACTATCTATATATTAAAAAAAAATTTAAACTACTACAGCTGAACTAAACTACTGATTACTATTAAGAACAACTATAATAAACCAACTACTAAAAGAGTTCAGGAGACACAATTGAGGTAAACCTCAATGCAGACAACTGCAAAAGGTCCGTCTCAGGCTGAGTTGGTTGAGAAGGAATTGAGGGCAGTTTGCCCGCACAGTGCTATATAACAATGGCACAGAGCATGAGACTGAGAAACATGCATGTGCAGGCCCTGTGGATATTGCTATGAGAAATCTCCAATCAAAGGTACAGGGGGTGCAAACACACCTAAAGTGGAGCACTCGTAGGGACACTACTCAAAGAAGAACAAAAGTTACAACTTAATATGTTCGTATTTTGCTGGCATAGGACAGAGTATTCCTGTTTATTTTTTATTTTATTTTAACATTATAGTGAGTGGACATGAACATAACACTTAATTGGAGCACAGTGGTCCCTGACACAATAGGAGAGCATCTTATGGGTTATTAATGCTTGTTTGAACAATCTATCCATGTTCCATGAAGTGAAAGCAGCAAATGGAGGAAGAGATAAATTAGATAAAATGATCAAGAAACTGACACTGATGGATGAACGCTGAAAAACATCCTCACCAGAAATTGATTACAACTCTATTACTTAAGTAATAGTTGCCAGACAC